GGACAACTGAATCCGACATATTAACAAAAAGCAAGAAAATTAAATTGATGTTTTTTCCTGATAAGAAATTATCAAACGCAATATATAGTGGATGATATATTCTTGTTCCAATTCTGGATATGATACTTATCAACAACAATCCCACTTAATTGAGCGAGTGAGTGAGTGAGTTTGATTTTACGCCGCTTTAAGCAGTATTCCAGCAATATCACGGCGGGAGACACCAGAAATGGGCTTCACACATTGTACCCATATCGCGAACCGAACCCGGGTCTTCGGCGTGACGAGCGAACGCTTTAACCACTATGCTACCCGACCGCCCTAAATTGAGAAAGAAAATATTTAAAATATTCTCATTCTTATCAAGAGAACAGTTGAAATAGTGTACCTATCTAGACCTCCATCCCATGCTGCCCACTTGGGTCTTTCATTTAGGATCCAGACAATATGGGTTTTTCCTTATTCACACCTTTTTTCAGCCTCCAGCTGACAATAAATGTAAAAAATGAGAGAAAGAAAAAGTATTTGGTTGGATTATTGTTAGCAGTATATCTATTTCACGTCGGAATGGAATGGCCATTTTCACTCATAGTTACGGGGCGATCGATTTTTAGTTCGAGTTCAATGACACTTTGACATGAAAAACTACATGATTTTTTGGTCTTGTCTTTTTATGTTTTCGTATTCCAAATGTGTCAAATCAACTGAATAGGTTAGAGTTTTATACCAGCAAAAAATGCATACATAAATGTTATAAGCATTTTTGCAAGGCTGCACAGCTTAAGGCTGTACGGAATTCTTCGATCTTTGCTCAGTGGAAAATAATTATGACAAAATATGAAAGATATCCCTATGTTGTTGTTTTCTTTTGAGCGGTGCACTTTAAATAAATCTAAACACATTGTTTGATGTAAAGAAAAAGGCTGTTCCTGTCACTCCAATACAGCTGAAGGTGCTGATTCTTGAAAAATTGTAAGAAAAAACAGACAACGCTTGGGTCTGAGTGGGAAAGATGGGGATGTACCAAATTGTTCGTTGTTTAGGGAAGTGGAAAGTTCTTTGACTGCCTTTTCCATTTTCTCACAAAGTAACGACGAATTGGGAGTTCCCTCCCTTGCATGTCCAGTTTAATCTTTTGATTAATAATAAGGCGACTGTAGCACTTGCATTGTATTTATTATCGGTCAGATCTTTCACGAATATACTTAATCAGTGCTGATAGACTTGTTGACAACAAAATAATACGATCGCCAAATACATCGTGCAATAAGGGCATAAGAAGAATAGGGTGGATTTGAAGGAGCTGTTGCAATACTTCCGTATCAACATGTTATTCTAAAAGGTATTGCTTTTATATGTGAAATGCGACACGATAGAGGCGAGTTGGATGTCTCCTGATTTGCGAAGCATTAAGATCATGGTCTGTATTTATCTGTAGATAAATACAGAGTGACTGACCATGATCTTAATGCTTCGCATTGACAATGAAAGTGCATAAGTAAATAATAAACAAGAATAGTGTTGTCAAGATACACACATTAAAACACATATTGAGAAACATTATAATGCACGGACACAACTCTGATAACAGCAAAAAACATGATTTATAAAATTATTGGTATTGCAGCATTAACAACCATTTAAAAACCGACCACTTGTGGGATCGTTTTTCTAAGACGAAGAATTAGATATCGTCGTCCAGAAGGTAAGAGAAAATACTCCAAGTTTAAAATGTGGACGGGGTCAGATAAAATATACGTTATTAGAATGATTAAGATCGCGAGTGTCAAAATGGACGGAAAAAAGGATCAAACAGTTTGCTCCCCATCAAAACAATAAATAGGTTCATGTAAGATTTGTTTTTGACATCAAGAGATAAATAAAGTAAAAAAAAACATATCCATATTCATAAGAAATATCTGCCAAAAGCAGAGTCGATTTACGTTTCCGACTTTATCATAGGTTGGTGTTTATGAAAAATCAGTGATGATTCCAGGTGTTCGCGAAAAGGTGAGCGTATCCTGCTCCACCTGTGACACCCGTCACAAACACATGGCAAGGCAAGTCAATTGTTCAACTGAAAAAACACGGGAACATAATTATGATACAAGTCAATAGGGAGTCAATAGGGAATTGCATCCAACATCAGGTTTGTCACTGATGTATCATATTTGGTAATGTCCTCCACATAACTACCTTAAACCGTTTTGAAAGTCTTGAATGATGTGACCTTGATCAAACAACTTCAGACGCTTCCACAACGAAGGGAATATGACCCAGTGCCCAGGCACAATCAACGGCAAAGGAAGACCTAAACAAAATAGTTGATCATTATGTTAAACAAAATAGGTGTCATGGCATGTCCTTGTGTTGTGTTCCGTGCATACCATACAAATTCTGTTCAATCCGAACTTGAATTGTTCTACAGAAATGAATAATTGTTTTCGCGTGGAATAATCGTCCCTTGACTCCAATGTGTCGTAGTTTGCATAGAGAACACTGTCCCTCGGGCGGGTCATGGGCCTTTTCTATAATTACCAAAGACACACATAACATTTACCCTTAATAGTAAATTACTTCCGGGACCTCTGTTTAAAATGAAGTATGTGGATCAAAGCAGGAATGATGCGTTACAAAATCAAAGCTGAAAAGAAGATAGCAGCTGATTGTTTTCATGTTGGTGTTGATCATCTAGACGTCACTATGTGTTTCATTATTTGCCAAATTTTGAAGCAACAGCAATGGGTCCATAAGAAACTGGTAAGATAAACAATCGAAAGTTTTATCAACCGGGGCTTTTGGTGCATGTTTGCAGGACTTGGGAACTCCTAAGAGATCCAGATTTGACTTACCAAGTGATGTACGAAATGTACTGCTTTGTCAAACACATACATGAACTTAAAAAGTAGAGGGCATCTGCACCAAGGAACAACGATTCCTTTGAAGATGAGAGAGTGTATCTGTACAGAGTTTTCTTCCCTGACAGTCTGTAAGAAGAGTTTGAATCCCAGCTCGACACTTCTACCTCCCACCTATAGTGAAACTGGATGAGGTGAGGTGAAATTGGGTTTAACGTCGCGTCCAAGATTATTGCACTTATATAGCGACGTGCATGCACGTGTGTGTGTGTGGCTGCTTGTACTAGTCCGGACTGATGCCGTTTTATAGTGAGGGTTACCATGGAGATACCATGCCGCAGTTTAACATGAATACCCCACTCAGACACAGTATACTGACTCCGAGACGACCATTCCTTGTTTTAGCTCCTTAATACCGAGCGCCACACAAGGTAACAACAAGTACCATCTTTTAACATCTTTTGGTATGACGCGGCCGGGGATCGAACCCCGGACCTTCCGCTCCGCGGGCGGACGATCTACCACTAGACCACGGAGGCGGTCCTGAAACTGGAAATGGACTCTGGATTATGAACAGACGTTCATCCTAAACACAACCGTGCTACTGGCGTTGATAAACCCAATTCATGCCAAATGTGTATTACACATATTGAGTGTTCAAAGTGCGATGGCATTGATCATCTCTGCCTCATCTTACAGCTCCATATAGGAACTGGTTCCGTTCGCATGATTATCACATGAAACAAGAAATGGCATGCATCTGTCTGTAAATGTTTCGTTTGATTCTTCCAGTAAAAGTATTATCTTATGTCAACCGACCCGTGAAGATCCGGGGTAGAATAGGTCTTCAGCAATCTATACTTGCCGTAAAAACCGACTATGCTTGTCGTAAGAGACTAACGGGATCGGGTGGTCAGGCTCGCTGACTTGGTTGATGCATGTCATTGTGTCCCAATTGCGTGGATCGATGCACATGATGTCAATAACTGGATTATCTGGTCCAGGCTCGATTATTTACAGACCGCCGCTATATAGCTGGAATATTGCTGAGTGCGGCGTTAAACAACAAACAAACAAATCATGTCAACCGGATGTCCGTGAACATCCGGGCTAGCATTTCAACAACCGTCATAATTTTTCGGGTAGAATAGGTCTTCAGCAACCCATGCTTGCCGTTAGAGGCGCCTATGTTTGTCATAAGAGGGATCGGGTGGTCAGGTTCGTTACTTGATTGATGCATGTCATCGTATCCCAATTGCGTAGATCAATGCTCATGATGTCAATCACTGGATTGTCTGGCCCTTACTTCATTATTCATACCGCTGCCATATAGCTTGAACATTGCTGAGTGCGGCGTTAAACAACACACAACTTACGAAGAAATTAGTATTCTCATTTGTGTCAGGTATTGATAGAAGAGAAAAACATAGTATATCCAACTTGTGTAATGAACTACATGTGTCAGAATGAGTGAGTTGGGCTTATCGCCGCTTTTAACAGTATTCCAGTTATATCACGGGCGGTCAGCTTAATGTGGGAGGAAAGCCCGAAGTGATGCAGGTCTCAGAGGTTTACCACTTCGGTGAAACCCACGAGCACGAGTATAGTGCTGACAAACCTAGAAACATAATCGGAGCGAACCGGGATTCGAACCCACAATCATAGGTTTCTGGCGTGCCAAAGGGACGCAACTCTGCACAGCGAATCGCGGCGCCTAGACGTCTGGACCACCCGTGCCCCCACTTGAGTCAGAAAACAGTACTTCCTCAATACCTATATGTGTAGTATGTATACTGACATTGTATATCACACGACTAATTAGAATGACTTTAGTTAACTTGACAAAAGTTTCACAACCTTTTCTGAATCCAAGCGAGCTACAGATACATATATATCAACGACCTTTTGCGATAACGTTTTTTAATGACCCTTGAATCCGTATTTAGTTCAGGAATCAAATACAATCAATAGCCAAGTAAATGTAACATAATACATGTATTTCGTAATACCATCACACCACATGAAACTCAGCCTCAACCATTGGATGGAAACATCCAAATTGGTTCTGTTGACACGCTAGCCCCTCCATTGGGAGCCACACAGAGAGTGTTAGGCTCACGGCCTAGGATGTCGTCAGTTGGATTGTGGATGGCCTACACGCATGTCTGGTGCTGAGGTGCGGATATTGGTTTAGACTTCCATACCAAGGTAGGCTATGGCTTTACTGTCCATTAAACTAGTGCTAATATATATCCAATATTTTATGGACCTATCATCATTTTGTACGTGTTTTATAAATGGTGTTTATTGTTTTGTTGTATTGTACTGTTTGCATTACATCATAGATTTCTTTCTATTTTGATGTATCATGGGTTCATAACGCCAGAAAATAACATTCTGGATAATCTGACGAAACAGATTCCATTGGGCGTAAAAGGCAAACTAGTGGTGAAAACTGTATGAATAGATGACTAAAAATTATATGAATGGATCACGTGTATTTGACGTGTATTTGACAGTTATTCCACTTGTATTTGACGTGTATTTGACGTATATTCAAATATTTCACGTGTATTTGACGTATACTTCATTTGTATTTGAAGTGAATTTGACGTATATTCACTTATATTTGACGTGTATTTGACGTATATTCACTTATATTTCACATGTATTGGACTTGTATTTGACGTGTATTTGACGTGTATTTCACATATATTTCACTTGCATTTGACGTGTATTTTCTATTGAGTTTTCATGAGCTCAGAGTTAGCACTATAAATCGGCACCGGTCCGATCTAGTACAAGCTTGGTGATAGTTCAAGATGAAAAAAATTGAAAAACTTACACAAACATTGTAAAGTAAAACCCGACAATCCAGAGAATAGGTTAGACTAAAATCACCCGGATTAGCAAATGTCCGGATTATCCCGGGTACGGTGTAATATCGCTGTAGTTGTACACAGACGCCCACAGCAGCAATCGCCCTGAATGCCGGAAGTCCGGATTATCGAGGTCCGGGCTGTCCGGTTTCAGTGCATACATGTGCAGGTTTAACTTCTTTGAGAGATATTTAGAAGTTGGAGTACTACGTAAGGATAGGATGTATGGATGAACAACTTCTTCATTACAATTAGGAGCAACGTTTCGGTGTTGGTTCCAACACCGTTTTTGTAATAAAGAAGTTGTTCATCCATACTTCATATCCTTACTTAGAGATTATTATCATCAGCAGATTTATCATCCCAAATTGGCTTCCACGGGAGATATCGCTTGTGTGAGATCAAGGGATGTCCCCCAGGAGATATGCTGCAATGGAATTGCTTTGAAGGCCATTGTGGCGTCATTGGTTACCATGACATCAGAATCAAATGAAATATTTTATCACTCTGCCCCTGAATTTTCGGACCACCTTCATGGTCGAGAGATAGAGCGTCCGCCCGGAGAGCGGAAGGTAGAAGCAGCCACACGCACACGCAGACGCAGACGCAGACGCACTCACACATACAAGCACACACACACACACACACACAGACGTTGCTATATAAGTGCAGGAATGTTTATCGCATAGCTGTACTGTTTACACTCAAGAAACTGCTTTATCACTGTTTTCAAACTGAGAAAGTTTGGAGAACGATTTTGGATGAGAAATATAATAATCACACTCATTAATATAAAAATTAAAATCCTCGGGAAACCTCAGCGTAAAACTATCCAACACTCATAAATAAAAAGTGAAAACATCATCGTCTCTGGGGCTAACCGAGGAGTTTTAAACTTTTATTGACGAGTGTTAGTATATTTGATATCAAAAGACACAAAGTTGATGTTATGTTTCTCCTCCAAAATCATTCTGTTAACATTATGTCAAATTGTTATCGACTCGGGTTCTTATATTTGATATCAAAAGACACTCGGTGAGATTCTTAATATTCTTTTCTGTAATGGGCATATTTTACAGAACATATTCGGTAGAGTGTTGGGAAACAAAGTGAATACAGAACAGGTCCGAGAGAATAAAGATATATTCAATGATATAACTGTTTGTGGTTGTGCCAATACTATAACAAAACAATTTCAGAAACACTCACTGTGCAAAAAAACTTTAACGTAGGCTTTAACTTACTTGATTGATTTCACTTGATAATGCTGTACCATTGAAACTCCTTAATCCATCTGCAATGTACAACAAACGTCAACGCTAAAGAATATCAGTCTCGATTATCTGCCGAAAGAGATTATACGGCCTTAAAAAGCAAAATAGTGATGACAACTATGCGAATGGATCAGTGAAAATCAGTGATGACACCAGGTGTTCGCGAAAAGGGTAAGCGTGTCCTGATCTACCGGTAGCAAACCCCGTTAAGCTGGAAGCCGCACATAAAGGATTGAGAATTTCCTTCGACACACGTTGTTCAAATACAATGTACATGTATAAACTTCAACGCCGGAGAATAACCAGTCTGGATTATCCGACGAAACAGATCCATTGAGCGTAAAGGGAAATTATGTGAAGGATCACTGAAAATCAGTGATGACACCAGGTGTTCGCGAAGCAGTGTTGATTTATGACTAGTATTCAGTAAAACCAAATATAATCCGAACAGAACAGTTTTATATGGATATCATTCAGCATCCACCTGATGAAGGAGCAAGACGAAACTCTGAAACTTCGTGACAAAGAATCAAAGACGTTGCTATCCATAAAAGTACCATGTATTCATGTTCTTCAAACTTCTAAATACCCCCAAAGACAGCACAGTTCTGAATAGCATCTATATTAAAAAACAACGAATCTTTGGTTATTTTTGTATTTTCTATTTGTTTTGGGTTCTGCTGTTTGTTTGTTTGCTTGTTTGTTTGTTTGTTTGTTTGTTTGTTCACTCATTGGTCCATTGAAGGTTCCCTAATACTCAAGGAATCCCTTTTAGAAATATTTTTTTCTAACCTTGTACATACTTTTATTTTATATGATAGTCTTTTGCCCGTCAGGTAATATACAGATTTGTGGCAACAGGATGCTATTATTGCTAGCTCAGCTAGTCTGGCTCGCTAAGCCATTAACGTTGTTCACGAAGAAACATTCACATTTCCCACAGCAATAATAAGATACATATCAACACCGTCTCCTGTTGACCTGTGGAAAACCTGAATTACTGGATTCTGCAACAATACGCTCACGTTTCCACAGTTAAAGCGCGCTATAAATATGTATGTTTCAATGAGGCTTATTTACAAACGTTCCTTTATGGCCTGGGATTTCAATAAAACCAATAACTAACCTGTTTCGCATACAGCAACACGGTCACCCCCTTACAATAGCATCCCCGCAGTTTTGCCCGCGTGGAGGCCAGACTCACTGCTTGCGGACCTCCATATCAATTAACGTGATCCCAAAGCGCCACTTTTAAATCACCAGGTGTAATGCATGGCTAGCCTTTGAAGTTTTGTGTCATTAAATTTCCAACCATTAATTATGGTAATGTGCTGCCTATCATGCACTGTACATGGAAGCTTATAATGCTCTTCCTTGGTTCACACCAGCCTGAATTGAGTGTGTCATTCGTCAACACTCGTTCGGTCCCGTAACATTTAAGAACACCCATCAGCTTCATATACTAGAATTATATAGTACATACAATCGGAACTCGCGAAGGACTTTGAGAAAGTTGTGAGAGAAAACCTTTTCGTATTTTTTGTAAATAGATAAAAAACAATTCTCTAAAAATATGCAAAAGGCCAAAGCCAAAGTAAAAACATCCATATCAACTGAAGACATCATGTCACAAGTGGAACATACTTTAAGCTGTACCAGTCTGAGGGAATAAAACCCCTTGCAATTTGAGGTAGAATCCCGAAATCTCTCAGAAATCTCACGAGAACTTAGATTTATCAAATCAGGCCATAAAAAAAAACATGAAAAAGCGAGCATGCGACATTTACCTTTTTTATTTCTCGCGTTTTATACACCGTGCGTGCGCATTTGACCTGTGTAAGATGAAGGAAGGTCAGGGAACATGCGCTCTGCATTACTCCTGTGGTCATGCTTCGTTCTTGATTTTGTTTTCGTTGTTGTAGCATTCCTATAACAATGGACTCACATGTCCTGCAACCCTGGGATATGGGAGAAGATGTATCGCCTGCCAGGGCCCATCTCCAGTCTGACAGTTTATGTCGAACGCCGCTTGTTTTAACGACATAATGGTGTAATCAGGGGCACCTATCTTCCACATGTCAAAACCGATTTAGGACTAATGTGTTACATGAAGACTGAAAAGCTTTTACAGGATCGAACTCTTGCTGTTGAAGTTTTGATGAGTAAGTTGGGCCTCCAGTTATATGTGTGCAGGTCATTTTTATGTTGGAGAAAGTCACAAGTTGTAGATGTTTATCACACCGTTGATGATACCAAAGAGTTTTTGGTAGGGAATACATACCAAGGATGATAGTGGGAAGGTAACACACGGAGGATCATAATGGGAGGGTAACACACCAAGGTTCATAATTGGAGGTTAGCACACCAAGGATCATAATGGGAGAGTAACACACCAAGGATCATAATGGGAGGGTAACACACCAGGGATCATAATGGGAGAGTAACACACCAAGGATCATAATGGCAGGGTAACACACCAAGGATCATAATGGGAGAGTAACACACCAAGGATCATAACGGCAGGGTAACACACCAAGGATCATAATGGGAGGGTAACACACCAAGGTTCATAATGGGAGGGTAACACACCAAAGATCATAACTGGAGGGTAACACACCAAGGATCATAATGGGAGGGTAACACACAAAGGATCATAATGGGAGAGTAACACACCAAGGATCATATTGGCAGGGTAACACACCTAGGATCATAATGGGAGGGTAACACACCAAGGGTCATAATGGGAGGGTAACACACCAAGGATCATAATGGGAGGTTAACACACCAAGGATCATGATTTGAGGGTAACACACCAAGGATCATAATGGGAAGGTAACACACCAAGGATCATATTGGGAGGGTAACACACAAAGGATCATAATGGGAGGGTAACACACAAAGGATCATAATGGCAGGGTAACACACCAATGATCATAATGGGAGGGTAATACAACAAGGATCATGATGGGTGGGTAACACACCAGGGATCATAATTGGAGGTTAACACACCAAGGATCATAATGGGAGGGTAACACACCAGAGATCATAATTGGAG